CTTCATATTCGGTTCATTAGCTTTAGATTGACATTTTACAAATCATAGGATCAGCTTTTCTAGTTTTTTTATTTTGAAAATTTCTGATTTTAATGGTTTTCGCATAGAAACAGCGGGGCTTGGAGATAAAAAAATATTTATAAAAAATTCAAAATTATTTGATAATTATAATATTTTTCTTTAAATTAATAAATTTATTGTCAAACCTGGTGTGTGGCGTTGGAACTAAGAAACTGACGAGTTGCCTCAACTTTCAGGCAATACAAGATGCGACTGAAATAAAACAGATCCATCAATTTTTGCTTTCTAATTATCGCAAAAGGAAATACAAATACGCGGCTGGATGTTTTTTAAATGTAAATGTAAACTGTATAGTGAAGAGGTTGCCTTCCCTACCTTCACCTGTAGAGGTTGCCTTTCCTCCTTTCACCTGTAGAGGTTTCCTTCCCTCCCTTCACCTGTAGAGGATGCCATCCCCCTCTCTTAAATAGGTTGCCCTCCCTCCCTCATGTACCTGTACAGAACTATTAGTATGAGAAGAGGAACGAGGAAGACGACTGTTCCAACTGTGGTGAAATATGTCTGCCAAAAAATTTCAATTCTTTTTTGATTTTGATCAAATCTGTGAGTTTATTTGGCTTTTTTCTTAAAAAAAAACATTTATATATCTCTTTCAACAAAAAGGGAAATGGTAATTAGGCAAGGAAAAATAATAATAATTTTAATGTGTTAAATGAAAATTGCACAAATCTTTATCCCCCTGGAATAGTTTAGTGTATATTAATAATTTCCTGTGTCCGAATTCAATGAATCTGAGCCGCGTCTTAAATCCGTCCAAAAACCGGTTTCAGTTGAGCGCCGGCTTAAATCTTGAAACATTGAATACAAGTGGAACCAACCATATTTGAGCTGCGGCTTATATTCTTTAAATTTGGTCTCAGGTCCCCTTTCCATTTTGAATTTTGATCTATAAAAGAAACCATTAAAAAATTTAATTCATTTCATCTTTTAAATCCATTCTTTGAAACCGATTTAAAAGAACCAAAGAATCCCGCTCCCTGTTGAGCTTCAAAATATTCCGGAGGGGGATGTCCCCCCCCCCAATTTGTCGTGAGGGGCGGTCCCCCTATCCCCCAAACTATGGCTTCAGGTGCATCTGTCCTGAATTTAAAATACAGCATAAAAGTACCATATTGCTGAGACTATTGCTCGCATACAGAATACAGTAATATAATGAAATTTAGACATGTATTGCAATAAAGAAAAATTAAATCCAACCTAACTAAATTCGCTTCATAAAGATCACAAAGAGTCCATGACCTTTATTATTTTATGATTTACTAGCTTGGGAACCCAGCGTTGCCAAGGTTAGTAAAAGTTACTCCCGCCGTTTACCCGCACTTGAACGATTTTACAGGGAAACTAAATTTTTGTTGTTAAAGTCGACCCACTCAACTTAGAATCTCAAGGTTCATTTCTGTGGGTCTCCCGATTTCGCCAATCAAAATTTGAGGCAAATCAGTCCAGGAGTTCCTGAGTTATGACCGGAAAAACAAACAAACAAAGACCCAGACAGACAGACAGAAAGACAAAGAGAGATTACAACTTTATATATGTAGATGCTGAATATTAATGTTTCATGTGTTTAATTTTAAATTTGTATAAGAGAAAAAAGCAGTTGAGAATAAAGACAAATAATAAAACTTAATAAATCCGCGGGGGGGGGGGGGGCNATAATTTAATGATAAACTATCTAGGAATAATTTAATGATAAACTATCTAGGAATAATTTAATGATAAACTATCTAGGAATAATTTAATGATAAACTATCTAGGAATAATTTAATGATAAACTATCTAGGAATAATTTAATGATAAACTATCTAGGAATAATTTAATGATAAACCATCTAGGAATAATTTAATGATAAACTATCTAGGAATAATCTAATGATAAACTATCTAGGAATAAATTTATGATAAACTATCTATGAATAATCAATGATTAACTATCTAGGAATAATCTAATAATAAACTATCTAGGAATAATTTTATAATAAACTATCGAGGAATAATTCAATAATAAAGTATCTGGGAATAATTTAATGATAAACTATCCAGGAATAGTTTAATAATAAACCATCTAGGAATAATTTGATGCTAAACTATCTAGGAATAAATTAATGATAAACTATCTAGGAATAATTTAATGATAAACTATCTAGGAATAATTTAATGATAAACTATCTAGGAATAATTTAATAAAAAACTATCTAGGAATAATTTAATGATAAACTATCTAGGAATAATCAATGATAAACTATCTAGGAATAATCTATTAATAAACTATCTAGGAATAATTTAATAATAAACTATCTAGGAATAATTTCAATAATAAAGTATCTGGGAATAATTTAATGATAAACTATCTAGGAATATTTAATGATAAACTATCTAGGAATAATTTAATAAACTATCTAGGAATAATTTAATGATAAACTATCTAGGATTAGTTTGAAGATAAATTATCTAGGAACAATTTAATAATAAACTATCTGGAATTAATTTGAAGATAAACTATCTAGGAATAATTTAATGATAAACTATCCAGGAATAGTTGAATAATAAACCATCTAGGAATAATTTAATGATAAACTAACTAGAAATAATTTAATGATAAATTATCTAGGAATAATTTAATGATAAACTATCTAGGAATAATTTAATGAAAAACTATTTAGGAATAATTTAATGATAAACTATCTAGGAATAATTTAATGATAAACTATCAAGAAAAAAATTTATGATAAACTATCTAAGACTAATTTAATGATAAATTATATAAGAATAATTTAATAATAAACCATCAAGGAATAATTTAATGATAAACTAACTGGGAAGAATTTCATAATAAACTATCCAGGAATAATTTAATAATACACTTTCAAGGCATAATTTAATGATAAACTATCTAGCAATAATGTAATGCTAAACTTTCTAGGAATAGTAATAATAAACTATCTTGGAATAATTTATTGATAAACTGTCTAGGAATAATTTAATAATAAACTATTTAAAAATATTTATTGATAAACTGTCTGGGAATAATTTAATAATAAACTATCTAGGAATAATCTAATGATAAACTAGCTAGGAATATTTAATGATAACCTATCTAGGAATAATTCAATAATAAACTATCTAGGAATAATTTAATGATGAACTATCTAGAAATGATCTAAATATAAACTATCTGGGAATAATTTAATGATAAACTAACTAGGAATAATTCAATGATAAACTAACTAGGAATAATTTAATGATAAACTAACTAGGAATAATTTAATGATAAACTATCTAGGAATAATCTAATGATAAACTATCTAGGAATAATTTAATAATAAACTATCTAGGAATAATTTAATGATTAACTATCTAAGAATAATTTTATGATAAACTAACTAGGAATAATTTAATGATAAACTAACTAGGAATAATTTAATGATAAACTATCTAGGAATAATCAAATGATAAACTATCTAGGAATAATTAAATAATAAACTATCTAGGAATAATTTAATGATTAACTAACTAAGAATAATTTTATGATAAACTAACTAGGAATAATTTAATAATAAACTAACTAGGAATAATTTAATGATAAACTATCTAGGAATAATCTAATGATAAACTATCAAGGAATAATCTAATGATAAACTATCTAGGAATAATCTAATGATAAACTATCTAGGAATAATCTAATGATAAACTATCAAGGAATAATCTAATGATCTCTTACCTGGGATTTATTAATGCTGAAGATAAAGATCGATGGAAAAGAAATGAGAGCTGATGAAACCCATGTTGTGATCAGCATTCTAAGAAATACAGCCATGGTTACCCACAAACATAGGTTAAATTAATACTTCGGCCACACATGGATCTTTTAATGGACCATTTAATGATTTGGCAAAGAAGTTTACAGCTGCAAGGAATCGTGAGTATAAGGAAAAAGACAGTAAAGCCGTCTCTGAAGTCTCATCCTTTGTGCCATGGTATCCCTGTATTTAGATATTTAATACCAATGAGGTATCCCTGATACGTCAACAGTTCCTTTAATGAAAGACTACAATGAGAAACCTTCAACAATGAATACCTGTAAGATGCTCCTGAATGATGAAGAGGGTTACTGACTGCTCTATGTCTCTCAATAGCAATAGTGACCAGCATATAGTTGGATAACGTAAGGGAGAAGGTCTGCATGAACTATTCAAATAAGAGAATTATAATAATCCCGAAGCTTGTGTCCCAAAAAAGCTGAACCGATAAATTTTGCAACTTAAAGAGGGCTTCTATAAAAATTCTAAAATTGTCAAGAACACATAGTTGGGCGAAGATAATAGGGAAAGGATTATTACAAGTTCCACTTAACTATCTATATTGTATAAATATACTTTACTTGTCTGTCTTGGTGTTTATATCCAATAACGGTCAAAACGGCTGAACCGATAGGGACTAAATTTTGTGTTGAAAATCACATGACCCCAGGGAAGGTTTATGGATGATAGAAATTTCAAAAATTTGCCTTCAACAAAATTTGATTTACAAAAAACTTTAAAAATTCATGAATTTTTTTCTGTTTTACAAAACATACATAAAAAATGTTCACAATCGAAATAGAAGATGGGCGCGAAACGCCCTTAAAGCCAAATAATGTACAATTTATTATGTTAAAATCAGGGATTTGCACGAAACTAATCAAAGAAGTAGAAAATATTGCAAAATTTAAAACTCTAAATATTTTTTATTTTTTTTGTATCCATAATGTTTTTTTTGTGCAACAGGTTTCACTAAAACTTAAATATAACTATTTTCTTTAAAGGAATTGAGTTTTTGTCACAAACTCTGATTTTCTTATTACTATATCTTTGCAACCCTATTTCATTTTCAAACTATGAATTTTATAAGATCAAATAATTCAAGTTTTTAATATCAGGTTTTAAATATATAAAGATTAGAAAATTTGAGCTTGTGGCAAAAAATCATTTCATTTGTCAGAAAATAATTAAATTTCTAAATCAGAAAATACTTAAAATGCTAAATCAAAGATAAATTTTTTAGTAATAATGAATTTGTTCAGGGCTTTATTAATTTTTTTTTTTGGGGGGGGGCGTGGCTCCCATAGCCCCTGTTAGTAAAAATAAATAAACCTTAAGAAATTTACAATAAGAATTTCCACCAATCCATCCCGTTGCCTCCCACAGACATTGTCCTGACAAATAATTGAAAATGTTAAAAATTTGAAAAAAACAATATGTACAAAGTGTTTCCAACCATCTTTATTCAGAGCTGAAAACTTTAGAATTGTGAATAATGACATTTCTTCTTTTTATCTTTTACTAATCTCAAGATTTACTTAAGAGATTAGAATATATATTAGAGGAGAATTTACTAGAAAAAAAGTGTAAAACGGCCATTTTGTTGTACTGTTTTCATATTGCAGGTGTACTTCACATATTTATGCTATATAACCTTTTGGGCCCTAGAATATCATTTTATAGAAAATCTAAAATTAATGTTAAAAGAAAACCAAATTATGAAATAGGCTGGTTTCATAATTGACCAATGATCATNATTTTGTCCAAATCATTGATTATCCCGGTTTTTTATTTACTCTGTATATTTATAAATATATATATTTATATATATTTATATACCGTCTAACCAACTTTGATTAAAGTTTAGAGACTATAATAAGTGAAAGAAGCTGATTAAGAAACTTTTCTGGATCTTTCATAAATAAAAAAGTTACGATTCCTATAAAATATTATTACTGTTGACAAAACAAGGATTTAGGTTAGGTTAGGTTAGGTCCAAACTTAACAAAATTAAATAATTATTTTTTGTTGTTGTTGTTGGCATTTTTATAATTATTGATTTTGTTATCGTTATTCGTATTGTTATATTGTAGGGGAAAATTGTTTCAATTTAACACTTGGTCCATTTCTAAAACTGGGCCAAGTGTTAATTTAGGAATTAATGTCCCCTGTATTGTTGCTTTTATTTGTGTTGTTGTAGTATAATTACTGTTGCCATTGTTACCTGCCATTGAGAATGCCGTGACCAAAAAGTCTGCTATAATAAGGTTCAAGAAAACTAAAAAATATTTTCTCTATAAATATGTTGATTTTTAATCTTTTCAGATATATTTAGAAACCAAAAACAATTTAGAAAATTAATATTGTGATAAATTGTAAAATATAAAGTATGAACATAATCTGTAAAACCCTGTCAATGAAAGTGTTTGATACGACAAAATTTGTTATTGTCAGTATGCTATAAAGTATTGTGTACAGATTAGAGTTTGTAAAATACTGATGTTGCTCCCATCTTCTATACAAACTTTTTATTGTGCAGATCTATCTGTGAGCATCTTCTCTTTGTACAATATAAAACAATTGCAAAAAACTATCGCGGATTTAAAAGTTTTGTTTGCGCATTTTCCAAAATTTTAAAAACTTTTGGACACAAATTTTTGTAATTTAAAGCATCCATAAACCTTTCCTGGGGTTATGTAAGATCCCACACCATTTTGACGTTTATTAGATACAAACATACAGACACCCAGACAAGCAAAGTATATTTATAGATTCAGGATTTAAGGCTTTAAACAGTTTTACATGATTTAAAATTTTATTCTCCTAAAGCTTGCTTTTACTACTTAAACTATCGAATTATGATCCTGGCAGAAGATAAATAAACCTGAACAAATCTTCACATGGTTCTTTGACAAACTATCGAATTTCGGTTCGTTGTCTGTCTGTATGTTTTTTTTTCAAGCCAAAAAACGTAAAAACGACTAAACAGATCGAGCCCAAAACTATTGAGGTAACCAAAATGACCCAAGGAAAGGTCTATGGCGGGTTGAAGTTAAACAATTATATGCCCGGAAAAAATGACAAAATTCATTATTTTTTAAATGTGCACCAATGTTAAAACGGGGCGCGATATGCCCCTAAAGCATTGTAACACAAAATACTGATATAAACTAATTTTTTTTACTTTTTAAATTTTTTTAAAGGGCAAAAACCCCAGAATATCTACATACGGATAATAATGATACAAAACTCGATACCATACATAATGCTATACATACATACATACATACATACGAAAAATAAAATACTTGGAAAGATTTCTCTCTTAATTCCCTGAAGACCATTTTGATTAGTTATTATGATTTTTTTAGTTTATAAAAACATTAAACACTTGCAGATGGCTGATTATTGATCAGTGATCATAATCAAAAGAGAAAATAGTTTCCTAATGATCCTTTTCTGTGCCACAACCTTGCTCCCTTTACAAAATATATTTTTAATAAAATTATAAACAAATATTTTAACCTTGGATTACAAAGACCTGAAAAATGGAAAAATATATCATGAACAAACAATCATTTTTCTTTTTCTTTTAATATTGTGTACAATATGTTGGAAGATGACTGATAAACCCTTTACGATCAACTAAAAAACACCAATTACACTAGAACGGTTTAACTTTTTCACTTTTTCAACTTCAGGTGTGAAAAAGTTTTTCAACATATTTTTTTTATGCATAGGATAGGGTGGAGGACGGTCATGCGAAAGGTCGGCGTTTGAAAAAAAAATAAAAGCAGTAAATAATTTTATTTTGATTAAGCTACAGATTTAAAATTAACTTATCTGAAAAGTCCTTAGAAAATGAATGGATAATAACATGCCTTACATGTTAATATTGTCAAAAAAAAAAAAAAAAATATTAAAATAAATTTCTGACGTACTTGTTTAAAAACCTATCTTGCACCCTAACCATTAAAGTAAGACGTTTAATTTCTTTTTAATGGGCTGGCCTTGAAAAGTGTGGACTAGCGACATGCATCACGCTCCCATATCTCAACTCTACAGGGCAAAATCATGGGGGGAGGGGGGAAATACCCCCCTAATCTTTATTAGACAAAAATGACTCTAAATATTTCAATGAACATGATCGAAGAAGAGCAATTGTACAGTGTCAACACTTCATTTTAAAAGTTAACTTTCAACTCATATTCTGATACAACTTTGCTTTACAATACACCATCAAGTATGAACAAGATTGCTGTAAGGGAGTGTACAAGCATATTTTTAAGTGACCTTCCATTGTAGAAAGGCATGCCAGATTCACATTGGTACCCTTATATATCTAAAGATTGCTTGCTGGGAGACTAGAGGTTACACTGTACACCGCGTGTAAGTATACACAATTGCACGGTTGCTTGGCACTTACTTTCCCTCTCCATAAATAAGAACATCTACAAAATTTGTGATCAAACAATGGTTTATAAAGGGTATTGTTGTTAATCAGACATGTATCTCTATAAGCTAAAGGTCATTTGAAATTACGCTTACCGTCCCTTTAAATGTTGTCTTTCTATTCCAAAGTTTTATGGATCTTACTGTAGTATATTAAATATATATTCTATGTTTTCCTGAGTGCTTTCTAGACCAAAGAAGAGTCTACAAAGTGCAGCTGTATTTCCAATTAGAGAAATCACCACTAGGCCTAAACAGTAAACATAGTTACTAATATGAGTAAAACTAAGGATAAAAGAACAAAAATATTTCAATTTCCATAATTACTGCTACTAATGTAAACCAGCATGGTTTCCTACATGTGACACTGTACATATATAGGGCTGTACATAAACAGTTAGTATAAAACATGGACCCAAACCCAAGCCAGGGTTTAGTTGTCCGTTTAAAAGTTTAAAAATAAAGCCATGATAGAACTAGTAATGGATACAAGCCAAGCCTGAAAAAACCATTTAACCTTAGATTTAATACGTCTGCAAATTAAAGCTGAAAAATCACTGATCTACACATATCGTTTGTTATTTCTAATGTGTAAATAGAATTGTGTGTGCATAATTGCTTTTAATTGAATGCAGTTTAGGCTATTTACTTTCTTAAGCTTAACTAAGTTCTAGCCACGCTCCCTCCCCGGAACCATGCTTGACACACTGAAAATATACAATAACCCCAAATTCTACAGCTCAATTGATTGATTAACTAGAAATAGACAGCTGCATGCAGTTTACTGTTTAGTAAATGTTTTTCAGGCACTAGATAGGCAGGGTGGTCCGCGTCAATGATCCATCTATGACCACCTGATCTGTGATTTCATTACATATGTTGGACTGTTTAGGTATTTTTGCACCTTATATGGCACTAAAATCTTAGTCTCTTGCTATATTCAGCAAGTCTGTATAAATATAAATATTGTTTGTTTGACTGATCAGAACTCAAGAACCCCTGAACTGATTTGCCTCAAATTTGATTGGGGAACTCGGGAGGCCCATGGGAATGTTCTTAGCATGGTTTTGAGTTTATAAGATGAGTGGGTCCACTTTTAACCGTAAAAATGGCTAAACTGTAATTTAAGTCAAGGTGCTGAATAATACAAAAGTAGAACATGTTTACTCTAAAATAGTAGCAAGGGATGAGCATCATTCCTGTGAAAGAACAGGAACGAATGGAATGGAACGAAAGATAACAAAAGTAGGAACATGCCCAGCCCTAGATTATTAATACTGTCCTCTCTGTCCTGAATGGGTATTGTGTTCACCTGCAAGAATTGGAACTCTATAATTAAAGTTGTATCCATAACCATCCTCCTCATCCTCCTCCTCCTCTTCTAGAACCATCTCAAGATCGTCACTAAACAAGATAATTATCACCTGTCACCTCTTCCTCCTCCACCTCCTGCTCCTCCTCCTTCACCTCCACCTCCACCTTATATGGGAGANCCTCCTCCACCTCCTCCTCCATCTCCTCCTCCAGCAACCCAGCTAAATTCACCAAGAATCTTTATAATTTTGATTGTCGGAAGTGGGTTGGTTCATAATAATGACAAAAAAGCCAATCAATTTCTTACAATGGAGCTACAGTTTGCTTATAATTTACGTTTTAAATCTATGTTCACTTAAGATTGAATTGTCTACTACCTAGTTTCTTGGAAAATGTTGAGACTGTCAAATATAGGTTTGCTGCAGTGATGTAATTAATACTAATACGTTATATCTACTGTAAATCATGTACACAAAGCTCCTATCATTGTAAACCGAGGACAGTTGGATCTCACAATTTTAGAACTTTTCTATCTCTCCTTCCCTGTTCCGGTAATCTTTTCTCCTTCAACCTTAAGCTCCTTTTACCAGATAAAGGAACCAACTAAAAACATATTCATCAATCTAATCTTCATAGAATCATGCAAATACTATCTCTAACTGGACTTGGACAATGGACATAGAGGAACTCAAAGATGTCAAATTCTGCTAAATCTAACTAAATAATGTTTACTTATAGATATGGCCTGCACTTTGTACATTTTACAATGCCGAATCTAGAATTTTGGAACCAAAATGATGACTGACAGAGGATTTAGATTGGGTCTAAATACTTCAGAGCTTTGCTAAGCTTCGATAACAATCAATTTGATGTTTTTATTTAGTAAAAAACATATTTTTTAATTTGAGGTAATCAATCAGTAAAACAAATATTTTTGAAATACTCAAAATACCAAAATATTAAAATTGCGGATGAGCAAGGTAAATGGTTATTAACTTTTTTATTTCAAATTCATAACTTTTATACAGTGGGACTCATAAAACTGTGAAATGGAAGGATGTGGCGGCGTAGTGGCGGAAGACGAGGCTTTTGAGGAGTTTTGAACCTAAGATCAAGACGAGGCAAGATGAGCAACTTCCGGCCACGTCACCTTTCTATTTGAATAATATTTTACGTTTTGATAAATTTAAGTTCTAAAATTTAGTAATAAAGTATTTATTTAAACCCGGCGTTTATCCTTCCGAGCGTAGCTAAATTGGTGACCCCTAGTTAGAAACTATAGGCAAGGATGGAAATGACAAGGAGTAAGTTTCACTTTCCCTGTCCAGTGTACTAAATAGCGTAAATAGACTGTTTTCCCGTGCCATTATAGACTTTTATAGCTACACGCTCGTCAAGTGAATCTTTCGAAATGCCTAAGGACAGTGATAACAAAATTTATCAGAGCAGAGTTTCCTCTTCAACTGTCTACATGGTTTCCGGCACNATTTAACCAATCTATTTTATGTTTGCTAGGTTTTAAACTTGTTAGAAAGTAAAACGGCTCTGAGACAGCTAAGGTGGAAGGCGGAAAGGGGGAAACAACCCTAGAAAATTGCTGGAAGCTTCTATATGTAGAATATATGTAAAGATACTTAAATTCTATTTTAAGAATTGATTAAAAACATTTTCCCTGTGGAACACTTAATAAAAAAATTGATTGGTTAAATAAAGATAATACTTTTGTTTTTGGCACGCATGTAGCTTCAAATTTTTTAGTGGGGGGGCATTTTTTGGACCAGAAAGTCTTAGAAAAGGTCTAAATTAATGACGCATTACTCATTATTGTTTTCAGATTAAAAAAGGTATGGCTAAGGGTTCAGTTTGAGCGTCAAACTTTTAGCCTGAAATGGTTTTTTTTGAAACCCAAACCTTTGACTCTGGATGGAGAAGAGCACAGGAAACCCATCACTGAGTACAGGAAACCCAAACCTGTTACTCTGGATGGAGAAGAGTAAAGGATATGTATCACTGAGTACAGGAAACCCAAACCTGTGACTCTGGATGGAGAAGAGTATAGGATATGTATCACTGAGTACAGGAAACCCAAACCTGTGACTCTGGATGGAGAAGAGTATAGGATATGTATCACTGAGTACATTAAACTCAAACATGTGACTCGAACTGTAGTAGCAGTATCAAATCAAAGCCCTTTTAAGTCCTCCCCATTCCTGGTTTTCAGCCCGGCCTTCTGTTTATAAGATAAATGTACACTGTTTAAATTTGAATTTGCAAAGCGCCCAGCCATACTACCAAATTTGAGCCATGCCTTACTTTTGAAAACCTAACATCCAAGGTTTGCTAAATAGTAAACAGTGGTTTTGAGTTTGGATGATGGATATTTCCCTATAAGTGAGTTTTTTTGTTATATGTTTTCTAAGTATGTTGCTTAATCCAGTTAAATATTTTTGATGTACAATGATTTTGTTTGATTTCAAGTTTGATCAAATTAATACTTAATTGACACTCATTCTAGTCTATAGTCTAGATTTAAATTTTTGTTATATAGACAAAATTAAAGTATATTTTTCGGAAGGTCAGTGGTAATTAAAATATTTTTACTATTGTAAGCTTTAAGTTAATGAAAAAATTCTCCTTATATTTACATTGATTATGACCAACCCTGCCATTTATGCACTTGTCATAGACTAAAAGAGTTTAATGCTAAATTCTAGAGTAATGTATTCTAATTCTAAGTACCTAATATAATTTTGACATATGTATACTAAGGTAACCTAAAGTAAGGCATCAACTAATAGTTAACCAACCTACTGTGTACTCAATGATTGAGAGACTACTTGTCCTCTCATATTTGTCCATTCTAAGTAGAATTTATCAACCAGGATGTCGAGTGCCAGGCCTCTGTCAATCATATCTGTTTTAAGGAGCTTCTTATCCTGACCCAGGAACACCCTTGCTGTTTCAAATTTGTCCCAACTTCTTGATTGCAGGTCAAGTAGAGTTGATTCCAAGAAACTCCAATCTCGTAACATGATCTCCAATCTGGCTGATAACACTATGGTGAATTTTATGAACAGGTGAAATTCGTTATTTGAACCTTGAAAGCAGAGTGGGCATTGTAAGACTCGGTCTTCATCCTGGCTTACTGGGTCTGCAGCATTGTAGGCATCTCTAATACTGCATTCATGCCCCTTAACCTCACCAGTGACCAGAACCTTCAACCAGCGGCAATTCTCTGGAGTGACCACCACTTCCTTCGGATTGGTAGCAGCTTTAGTGAAACCAGTTTGCATTAGTTCTTTGTTTCTTTTATTTGTTTCACTTTTAATAGAAATGTTTAACTACTTAGTTCTTTTATTGGTGCATGACTTGATGACTACTAGAATATTTTAGAAATTTCTTTATAAGATGAATAAACAAACATGTATAGTGTTTACTGTTTACCTGCTAAAGTGAGTACAGTTAAAACACGAACTTGTCATTTTTTCTGAAAGAAATGATTTAAAGATATTCTAGAGACATGGGCTTTGTCTATTTTAAAAAACTTTATCGTTTTGTTTAAACAAAAACAAACATGATTATAAGAATCTATATGGAAAAGTTACAGGAAAAAATTTCTAAAAAAAACTGGAAATTTAACTTAGGTAAATCCTGAGTTTTAGATTCTTGGCCTCTGGAACTATTTTTTCCAAAAATAATATGGGGGCTGCCAATAAAGTCTCAGGAAATAAGGTCAAGTCTGAGATGTTTTCATAAAAAGGTATTTACTTCTACGCATCTGCATATTAAATATAGCTATGGGTTTTTTATTGTTAAGTCTCTTTTTTTCATGGTTGCAAACATCCTTTGTTTCCATGCATTTTCTACTAAAGGGCTTTATTTCCAGAGACTTTTTATTTCAAGGACTTTTATGTAAGAAAGTCAGAGGAAAAAAAAGTTTCGAAAAAAACTTGGAAAAAAAACTTTGGTAAAAGTCCCAATTTTTTAGGAGACAAATTCCGATTAAGCTCAACAATTCCTGGGACTTTTTTTCTGAAATAATATATGGGGGCCGCCAATAAATTTTCAGAAAATAAGATCACAGGAATAAAAAGGACTTTTCTTCAATGCTTCTTCATATTAAATAAAACCAGGGGTGTTTTTAATTTTAAGCCTCTTTTTTTCCATGGCTGTAAACATTCTTTGTTCCCATGCATTTTTAACAAAATAAAAGGACTTTTTCAGGAATTTTTTTTTTATAAGATCGTACTGAAACCAGAAAAAAATCCTTGAAAACAAAGGACTTTTTTTCCACGGGAAATTTTTTAGTGTCAATATTTAGGACTTGTACAGCTTCCTCTAGCTGGTTGAAAGTCGGCCCTGGACTTAAAATGAACCAAAGTTTACAGTACAGGGAGATGGAGCATGGGGGTGTTAAAGTTTTTGTTTAAACTTCTTTATTATCTCTGTTTAAACATGTCCTTCAATTTATGAGCTCTTTATAACACTAACGCATGCTTATTTTGTCAGTTTTGACTTGATAAGTATGAGCTGCTTTTTTTTGTTACAGTTTAATAGTTTATTCAATTCTAATTTGTTGTCGTCTTTTATCTAAGAATTGGGGTTAGTCAAAGAAAAAACCAAGTGTAAAACTGATTTTTTGGGCTCGCACATATACAAAGAGATTAGAGAATGCAGAGAGCAATTAAAGGGTAGAAAATGAGATATTTTCCACCGCAAGTTTCATTGTGATACAACTGGAGTACACAACCAGTAAAATAAAAGAAAGATAAAATAAAAATTTGGAAGGGATAAACGAAACCTTTAAAGATATGACTAAATTCATAAATTTTCTGTTTTCTGTTTAAAGTTAGAGTATTTTTTTAAAGATTGTAAAACTTAACCCGTGACAGTTAAAAACCTTTTGTGGAAATGTATAACGTGGCGTGCCGGGACAATTATAGGCCTGCCTATTCAGTGAGAGCTTATGAGCAGTCTGTGTTTATATATTTTGTGGTATAAATGTTTATATATATTTATACAAATATATATATAAATATCAATTCCAGACTCCAATTACTTGGATTTTGGATATGATAATGAAAAGACCATATTCGCGAAAAGCCTAGTACATTGGAATTTCCGAGCCGGGTCAACCTTTCCAGTCCCAGTTTGTGTTGTACCTAGCTCTATGGACAAGACTAGCCGTTGCAACAAGGTTGACACGGTCAGACTTTATGCTTTATATAGGTTGAATTTACTTTAAATAAAGGGGCAGAGGTGCGTGTATTGTCAATGAATGAAAATTGCAAGTATTTTTCAATTATAAAAAAATGCGTCTTTGCCTTTAAAAGTCGTTCTTTATAATTTTCTCTTCTACATTAGTAAAAGATCTATCTATCGCCATGTTGTGTATATTCTCTGGACATATATTTGCTTTGTATATGCGCAGTCTAACTGAACCCCTAGAGCGTGAAATTTAAAAGAGTATCGTTGAACAAAACTCCCGAGTTCATTTGTGTAGATTAACACCAAGAAGTTGAAAATAAAGAGAAAATAAAAAAATAACTATAAAAAATAATATGTGAACTGCACCACTTTTTTACAACTTTTACAAAAAAGTTATTAAAAGTGACATGAATAGTACACAGTCCCCTTAAGATAATTGCTCACACTAAATGTATCAGTGAAAGAAAATTTGATGCTATCCTGTGAACTACTGCCGTTTAAACTATGTCGTTTAAACAATTGAACTATTTGAGCATGAAAATAAACATGATTTACTTGAAATGAGTCTTAAAAATAGTTCAAATTAACATAAAAAAAGTTCAAATGAACGTGAAAATAATTCAAATGAACGTGAAAATAGTTCAAATGAACATGAAAATAGTTCAAATGAACATAAAACCAGTTCAAATTAACAAAAAAATAGTTCAAATGAACCAAAAAATAGTTCAAATGAACAAAAAAATAGTTCAAATGAACTAAAAAATATTTCTAATGAACACACAAATAGTTTAAGAAAAATTCAATTAAACATGATCAAATAGTTTTAATAAAAATATAGGAACTAAAAAATTAATTTTTTATTTGAACATTTCATATTGGTTCACTAGAACTATTTTTTTTAGTTCATTTGAACAACTAGCTGTAGCACTGGCCCCCTAGCCTGTCATAGCCACAGCGCTCGGCCCAGATATTGTCCTAATTAGGCATAACCCTGAAATAATACGCACATTTGAACTATTTTTTGGTCATTTGAAATATTTTTGTATTTAAACTATTTCATTTAATTTTTTTTGTTCGCTTATACTATTTAAAATTTATTTGAACAATTTTTATTTTCATTTAAATCCCAAAATTAGCAAGATAATGTGTTAATTTGAACTACAGGATATGACGTCATCCATCAGATGTTCCAATGAACAAAAGTTCAAACGTCCAAAAGTTCGAACGACCAAAAGTTTAAACGACCAAAATTCAAACGACCAATAGTTCAAACGGCAGTTGTTCAAATAAATTTCCACTGAAAATTTGGACCCTCTTCCTTGTTCACGGTGCTGTTAATACTAATTAAGATCTGAACAAGCCTAGATAATAAAATTAATTTCAGATTCTTTGGAAAACACAGATGTTTAAAGTGAATTTTAACAAGTGGTTTGTACTTTATGTGCAGATCCTCCATAGTTAATAGATACACAAATAGTAGATAGTAATAGATAGTAGATACACAAAGATTATAGGGAAACTGAGAAACCATATCTAATGAAAACTATTGATTATTATAAATTAATTCAATTGCAAACTTTAAATCAAATTTTCTAATCTCTGTATCGTTGCAACCTTTGGGTTTCCAAGTTTAGGCTTTTTGTTTAATATTAAAGGTCTAAGACATCGGATTGCAAAGATATAAAGATTTGGAATTTAGAGTTTGCGGCAAAAAAACATTTCCCTACTGCTTTGTACAGTACTTTGATTCGTGGAAAATAACCTCAGTGTCTTCTGACCCAAAGTTTTCTGATCTAAGGGATTTCAAACCAAATATTTTTGTTTTAAATTTCAAGCTTAAAATTTTTTGATTAATATTGAAGCTAGGTTTACATCTTTAGGTTAAACAAATATAGGGATTATGAAATTAGCGTTTGTGGCAAAAACAACTATTTCCTTTTAATACATACATTGCTTCATTGCCATGTTAAGTTCTGTGATTCGTGGAAAATGACCTGAGTGTTTCCTGGACTAGGGTTTTTAAACCTAAGATTGTTGTTTGTCTAATAGCATAGGCAAGGTGGAGAGTTTAGCGAGGTAAGTGGATAGTTTAGCGAGGTAGGTAGATAGTTTAGCAAGGTAGGTGGATATTTTAGCGAGGTAGGTAGATAGTTTGGCAAGGTAGATGGAGAGTTTAGCGAGGTAGGTGGATAGTTTAGCGAGGTAGATGGATAATTTAGCGAGGTAGGTGGATAGTTTAGCGAGGTAGGTGGATAGTTTAGCGAGGTAGGTAGATAGTTTAGCGAGGTAGGTGGATAGTTTAGCGAGGTAGGTGAAGAGTTTAGCGAAGTAGGTAGATAGTTTAGCGAGGTAGGTGGATAGTTTAGCGAGGCAGGTAGATAGTTTAGCGAGATAGGTTGATAGTTTAGCGAGGTAGGTGGATAGTTTAGCAAGGTAGGTGGATAGTTTAGCGAGGTAGGTGGATAGTTTGGCAAGGTAGGTGGAGAGTTTAGCTAGGTAGGTGAACAGTTTAGCGAGGTAGGTAGATAGTTTAGCGAGGTAGGTGGATAGTTTAGCGAGGTAGGTAGAGAGTTTAGCGAAGTAGGTGGATAGTTTAGCGAGTTAGGAGGAGAGTTTAGCAAAGTAGGTGGATAGTTTAGCGAGGTAGGCAGAGAGTTTAGCGAGGTAGGTGGATAGTTTAGCGAGGTAGGTGGATAGTTTAGCAAGGTAGGTGGAGAGTTTAGCGAGGTAGGTGGATAGTTTAGCGAGGTAGATGGAGAGTTTAGCGAGGTAGGTGGATAGTTTAGCGAGGTAGGTAAATAGTTTAGCGAGGTAGGTGAATAGTTTAGCGAGGATAGTTTAGCGAGGTAGGTGAATAGTTTAGCAAGGTAGGTGGATAGTTAAGCGAGGTAGGTGGATAGTTTAGCAAGGTAGGTGGAGATTGATGGGGGAGGGGGATGGGTTAGACTTCGTAGTAGTGGATGATAAGTCCATGAAAATGATGGTATTGTTCGTATCGAAAAATAATAAACAAATATTTTATTTTGATCTAGTTAACAACCTTACTTGTGAGGAAACAGATTTTCATCGAACTCTTATGTCTAAAAGAACAATTGTTAAATTTATGCTCCTAATAAAAAGGCTCTCCGTGTACTGCATGTGTATATTTAACGGCAATATAATTAGCTAGTATATATTATATATAGAGTTCAATTCCTTGCGTATGCTAAAATATTTCCAATCTGAAGAACACATGAGGGATCACTTAAAGTTGCTCTTACAGTTGTTGCGGCCTTTTCTACAAATATATGAGTTTTACTGAGTTTATCATCAATTGGAGTAAAGAAAAGAAAAAAAACACAATTTTCATTTTTACATTTGTGCTTTTAGGACTGTTGCCTGACTGTTTATATTACAAGTATAATGGCCTCGGAACTTAAAAGTTGTAAATCTTGGATCTTGAGTTCTAAACTCTCTTAACCCTATTTACCCTGACGTCTGGTTTCATACCTGGTTAACCCTAGAGGGAAATTTAGATATTAAGCAAAAATTGTGCGGAAACAATTGCGCAAACAAATTATACATTTTTGTAAAATCTGTGCAAAATTTATTTGCAAAAATTGTGTAATCTGGTTGCTTTTGTTACAGGCTTTCCATAAGAGCTATAAAATGTTGAAAGTTGAAATAGGGAATATATGTAATTTCAAGTTAAATTATTTGAAGAGGGGCGGGTCCGATTCACGTCAGTACCTTTGAACCTTTCGCTGATTAAGGATGAAATACTGTCCAGAGAAATGCTTGTAATTGTGTTTTTCTCATTATTGGAGCCAATTTATCAAAATTAAAACTTGATGGAATAGTAAAACTGAACCGAGCTAATATTATAGACATATTTATTAATACTAGAAATTCAGGGCGCATCGCACCCTTCTTTCTAGGCTTTTAGGGTGCTTCGCGCCCATCTTCTATTTAAACTTTTAACTGTTGCTTTATCTGTGAGCATCTTCTCATTGTACAGTATAAAACAAAAACAAAAAAAGTTTGCGGATATCATAATATTTTTTTGCGCATTTTCAAAATTTTAACAGACAGACAGACAGACAAGCCAAATTTATATATAGATAGATTTGTAAAAAAGTCCTAATTTTTGGCACTAAAATGTCCTGCGAAATAAGTCATGAAAATGTGTGCTAAAAATTATTTTGAAAGAACTGAAGTCATGACTTTTAATTCAAAGTTTTAATATCTTGCTTGTCACGGTATCATTTCATAAAAATAGATAAACCGAAAATTGTCAGTACATTTGACATTTGTGATAAATTTTTTTTTAATAAATAAAGTTTATATAAAAAAAACATTTTCCATTTTTATTTCCGGATTTTCTTCGTTACTTGCTTATGTTTCTCTTCTTGTATGAAAGCTTGCCAAGAATAAAAAAGTCTAGCTTATTGTTTATTGAAATACGCGACGAAAACTGTTTAAGAAGATAGTTGTATACATTTTTCAATAACATCTCATTGTTATACAATTTCAATCGCACTAGTTTACTTAATACGATGTTTGACAATTATCAGGTTCTAATTTATTTGAATTCCTAAAATGTATCAGGTTCTAAAACATAAATACTCTGCTAGGTTCAAATTCAAAATCTAGACTAAATATTCCAACGGAGTAAACCTCGTCTCCCGGAGAAGGTTCCGCTCTTGCCGGAGTAGTCTTGGTTTGGTCAAAGATTTTTCAAAAACTGAGTCTGCTGGTCTAAAATTATTGTATAAAACAAAGTTTATATTGCCATTGAAACTAAGCTTGTTTATACACTACACAGTACACACAATTAATGCACATAGACTATAGTCCCAACCAAAATAAATTAATCTCAGTCATCCAAAAAGTATTGTTTTTTTTTTCTCTTCTTAAATAGAAAAGGAAAATTTATAATAATAAATCTGACCTATGTACAGGGTCGTTGATAATATCAATACAACTAAGACGATTTTAATATTAATGCTTGGATTCCAAACAAGCAAGCTTTCAAACTAAAAGTTTACAAATATAAAGAAGCAAGAGAAGCTGTTAATTGACAAATTCTCTTTGTTTACGACGATCTCCTTAAGCTGCACGTGAAAACCTCTCCGTGCCTCTCGCTCAAGCCTCCGCCTATTGCAAGGCTTGGAGGTCATTCTTTCGAGGCTTATGACAGCCCTTCACCACCTCCGTTGTTTATGTGTCTCTGCCTTTTGAAAGATTAGTAAAAAATAACATTGAAAAAGAAAGTCGTCTTCATTGTAATGATATATATGACGACAACTGTATCTAGTTGAAAATAATGCGTAATTAAGTAAGAAATTACTGTTACTTATAGTTTCCAAAATTAAAAAAACTTTCTGCTATTCTTCTGGATCCTGATGAGTGCAACCGGACGGTGAAACTTTTGGATCTCCGACTTGAACCAGGCGCTCAACCAGACATTTGGCAATTATATGGGGCAAGGGAAAATTACTAGGGCAGGAAAATGTGTATATAATCAACCATGAAAAAACTTATCTTACCAACAGAATATTCGGTTGGTTAATATATCTGATATGAAATGGAAAAGAAATGTATTCTGGATAAAACAGTCAATATTAATCACAATACAGCACATAGTATTTACATATGGTCAAAACCACACATAAGGGATAGGAGGTTCATCATGGACAATTTTCTGAATAACTTTTTGAAACTAAATTTTAATGTTTAAATTTTGCTTCTATTAAAAATTGTTTTTGATTTTGATTTTTTTTTTGCAAAAATATTTAATTAAAAACGTGTGATTAAACACACACAAAGATTTTTTTAATGTTAGAAAATTGAAAATTCTTCCCCAACTATTCAAATCTACAGAAATTTTTTTTTTTGACAATCAAACTTTCATTTAGAAGACAAAGATTTTAGAAAAAGATCCTTTTTGCCACTAAAATTTGCATGTTTATTTCTCTCCCTAATATAAAACAGGTTTGTTCCTAATTATTTCAATGAAAAAGTACACTGCAATACATCCATAAAAAGAGAAAAAAAGAAAAATGTGTAACAATCATATTTTTTAAATTAGATGTAGAAAACAAGATTTTCAGACAAAAACACTTAAGACGGAATTCATGGTTAAAGAACACGTCCAGTTTGGCATTACTCCAGAATTATGAGCCCACATTTTGATTATACACATGAAAGAAAAAGCGATGCCAACCAATCCACTCAACAGTTTTAAAACAATCTATCGAGACAGAAGGACCATGACATAGAACTAATATTGGTCAAGATTAACTTCTAAAATTTGTGGGCTTTAGTCTAATACCCCCTTTCATTTTACCTTAACTGTCCCTTGTAAAAAAAATTTGAACAAATGAAAGAATGAGACGACATTTAAAATTAATACAATTTTTCGATACAAAACACAATAACATAATGAAACAATACAGAAGACGAAAATACAACAAGAAAATGTAAATTAAAGAGATAAATATCTTTATTCAAAATATTTGAAAAATCGTCACGTTACACATTCTGTTATTATCTACATCATGTTTATTCAATTAGGGTTGATGCAACATGATTGCCAGTTGAGTATATTGTTTCCATTTTGCTGCAACCCATAAAAGTTAGCTGCAAAATAATCAACATTGTTGGAAAAATAAAAAATGTATGCTTGGATCTGCAAAAATAAGTTTACAGATTTAACATGGACCTGAGCTGGGATCTTTAGAATGGGATACCTTTAATCCAAACTACTTAATCCGAATATCCAATGTGGATTTCTTGCTTAATCCACTCTTTTTTGGATATAGTAAAGAAAAATCAAAAACCGGTTTTACAAAATTAGAAAGTCCCTCCCGTTTCTGTAAATTAATCTTAAATGGCGCGCACAATTTCAAATTTCCCGGCTTCTGATACGCGACTCTGATTGGTTGATTTTATATACTTTTCAGGATAAAAGTACAAGATTAGGTTAGTCTCGAGATTACGAAAAAGAGAGGATCAAGCATTGATCTTGATTTCCATCATTCTAAAGTTCCCAGCTCTGCATAAATAAGTTTTAAGATTAGCGGGATTTAATAAAAATGACTGCATACTAAAATATCAGCTTTTTATATAAGAATCTTATATTAATGATTATTTTTCTAATTACTAGAAACACAATCTGACTTTTTAGTTTGAATGACATTAAAGGTGGAAGCAACAAACTGTTGATTTTATTTAAAATTTAAAAGTCAAATCTATCAACATTAACTCCCCTGACATTTTCTTTATCAGAAATTATGTTTTTTGTTCACAGAAAATTGAGGATTGTTATTTCTTTGTAAATTTGACTTCTGGATTTATTCAGGAGAACAAAGGAAATGGATTTGGGAAATTCAAAACATTTTAAAGTTGAAAACGACAATATCAATTATGCTTAAATAAATCAGTTATTGTTATAAATTACTTTAAGCAGGTTTTGATTTATATGCTTTGACGAAATATTCTGTAAGATAATACCATCAGAGCGGGGGGTTTCCGCAAAACAAAATTTTGTGGAAGCAAGCACCAATGATGCGCAATTCAACGCGAAGCAGATTCCAGAAAAAAATGGTACGTAAATAAATTGGACAGTTTGTGTGGCAACAGTGCACAAAAATTGCATGAAAAACTTTTTTCTTCATTTTTTGTTTAAGTTGCGCGGTAGTTGAATTTTAAACATGCGGAATTTACAGTGGAACAAAGAATTTGCGTGCAAAATGCGAAATTTTCGGCAACACTTGAAACTCTATATCAAGTATATCAAGTCCAAGGTGTACCTGTGATAGTGGAATCAGGCCATGCAAAATTGAGTTGATTTATAGATAATCCAGGCACAGATACAGCTGGAATCCAACCTGGCAGGAGCATCGTGAGATTATCAAACCTAGAGATCTCCAGTCGTATTCCGTCAACAGAGGAAAAGTAAACCTAAACATAATTCATTTTTCATGATTTTGTTTAACTTTCTAAATAAAGCATCCTTGTTAGTCAATTAAACCCCATATTAAGTTTTTTTTTTCATTCGTTTAGTAAAAATTTAATTCTTAGAATTTTTAATTAATTTTCCGTCCATTTCATTAGTTTTCTAACTGAAAGAACTTTTGATAAAATCATTCGTTATTGAGATCATTCGTTCAGTGAGATCATTCGTTCAGTGAGATCATTTGTTCAGTGAGATCATTCGTTAAGTGAGATTATTTGTTCAGTGAGATCATTCGTTCATTGAGATCATTCATTCATTGAGATCTTTCGTTCAGTGAGATTATTCGTTCAGTGAGATCATTCGTTCGGTGAGATTATTTGTTCAGTGAGATCATTTGTTCAGTGAGATCATTTGTTCAGTGAGATCATTCGTTCAGTGAGATCTTTCGTTCAGTGAGATCATTCGTTCAGGAAGATCAAGACTAATGTTATGACTTTAGATAGCCAAATGAACACGAGGCGCAGTAAATGTACGGAGTTAACAGACCCATAGCTGGCATTAATATAATGAAGACGGCTTTTTATTTCAAATTTGATCAAACTGTTAAACAGCATGGATACATATAAAGATAAAAGTTATGAGAAGCTCTCAATTAAAAAAAGATTCTGTTTGATTACTTGTAAACTTGTAATTTGAAAAAAGCTTGTTAACAATCAAGACTTAAATTTAAAAGTCGTCTTCATTGAATTGATATGATCGCCACCCACTGTCGTCGTCATTTAATAGTTAAAAAAAACACGTATCCACCCCGAAAGTAGAAGTTTTGAACGTCGAATTTGCGCTCAAACTCAGGATTTACAGATCTTTAAAAATTTTAATATGTATCAAATGAATCCGAAAGAAGTTTTCCACAACACTGCATACTCAGTTCAACTTTATTACACAGCCGGTCACCCCCTTTAAAGACATCATTGTTCGCAACAAATTCTGTTTTTATATATTAATATTATTACAAATATATCATCTGTATAATTAGTAAAGGATAAGAATGTTTGAAATTGTTATGAAAATAATGATACCTGAGCATCCTTGTCTAACAAATACATTCTTCCCTTTTCCAAGCTGAATCCAAGAATACTGTGTATATAGAGAGGCAAAGCTGCAAGATATAAAAGAATTGGTCATTATTATTGTGCACTGCAAACTCTTCTTAAAGCACTAGGCTTTTAAATGCTGCTTTAAAGTTGCCATTTTTTCACTGTCTCACAAAAAAATGTTTGCGGATTTATCTTTAATCGTTCATAACCTTCCATAGACTATCTATTTGTTTTAACCTAATTTACAGGGTTACCCACAAAGGATGAGACTTCAGAGACGATTGTACGGAATTTATTTAGTCCGTTTTCTTGCATTCAGGGTTCCTTGTAGGCCAAAACGGGCTTATTTCTGTGGCTTAATTATTTAGTAAACCATAAAAATTCTCAATTTAATGCGGAGACCAAAAACTAAGCTTCAAATAGTCATATTTTTAGAGTTTTGAGTCGTTTTTCAGTCTCATCTTTTGTGGTTAACCCTGTATTTAGAATGGGCATCGTTTTCAAAAATGATTGGTGTCCGAATTTAAAGAATTTATGCCGCGTCTCAAATCCCTCAAAAACCGGTTTCAATTGAGCGCCGGCTTAAAACTTGAAAAATTTAATACAATTTTAAGTGGAAACAACCTAATTGAGCCCTGGCTCAAATTTAAGCAGAGGCTTAAATTCTTTAAATTCGGCCTCGGAAGAACGATAATTTTTAGTATCATTTTGGATTTTTCAAAACTAGCGAACATTCGTTTTTAGAAAAAAACGTATTGTTAAAATTGACTGAAGTGATAGTTTCAAGCTTTTGAAAACAAAAAATAGAAGAACAAAACTATAGTTTTGAAGCAAAAACGATAGTTTTTGTTCAGATTTTAATTAAAAATGTTCACGTTCGAATCAAGGTTTGTAAATTCAAATTTAAATTTTTCATTAAAATATGCTAAATTTCGTCGTTTTAATTCCAAAACGATCTGTTTCCTTTCATAACTATTGTTTTCATTCCAAAACTATCGTTTTTCCATTTTGAAAACAATCGTTTTCAGTTTTTTTCATCATTAAAACTTGAAAAATTTAATACAATTTTAAGTGGAAACAACCTAATTGAGCCCCGGCTCAAATTTAAGCCGAGGCTTAAATTCTTTAAATCTGGCCTCGGAAGAACGATAATTTTTAGTATCATTTTGGATTTTTCAAAACTAGCGAACATTCGTTTTTAGAAAAAAACGAATTGTTAAAATTGACTGAAGTGATAGTTTCAAGCTTTTGAAAACGAAAAATAGAAGAACAAAACTATAGTTTTGAAGCAAAAACGATAGTTTTTGTTCAGATTTTAATTAAAAAATGTTCACGTTCGAATAAAGGTTTGTAAATTCAAATTTCAATTTTTCATTAAAATATGCTATATTTCGTCGTTTTAATTCCAAAACGATCTGTTTCCTTTCATAACTATTGTTTTTATTCCAAAACTATCGTTTTTCCATTTTGAAAACAATCGTTTTCAGTTTTTTCATCGTTAACAAAAAATGAGCGTTTAAAAAAAGTCCAAACTGCCCATCCCTAACCTAACCTGGAATAGTTGAATCAAGGGAGGTTGTAAAAGGGAGAGGTGTGGGGTCCACAGGGTCATAATAAATATATAATAATAATTAGAAAAATTACCCTTCCAACGTCCTTGTATAATGGAAAGCCAGCAAGGTTGTGCATCTTTATACTCTCCTACGTCACAGAGGTAGATGATATTCTCGTGTAAGGTGTCCACAGCAAATTGTCTAAAATAACATAGTTGATCACGTGCATGGCGTTCTTCTAGTTAGCAATATTCAAACCAAAACCAAACAGGCGTTTTTTCTTAAACTCAAAAGGCATGCTGGTTAACTATGCACGTAATAAACTTTTTAATGTTTTTTTTTGTGTCACACTTATTTTGTCAAAATCATAAAATTCTACAACCAAATTTTCTTCATGGAAATATTAATTTTTTTGTGCGTTTTTAACCCTAAGTAATTTTTTTTTCAAGGTTGCAACCTAGTGTTTCTTTACACCTAAGAATTAAGGCGTTTTTCTGCAGTTTATCACAAAAAAACCTATGTACGTTATTCTGGACATACTAAGCACTAAAAGTACTATTGGCGTTTTTAATACTAAATTGGTATATTTGAATTCTTTTAATTGACTTGAAAGTTGTATGATTCTTGAAACAATAACAACACAATTCTCATTATCCTATCATTTCCAACATGTTGTCTGCCTTTTTCTTGTGCTGTCAACATTACCAGAGATAAAAAGATTTTAATTTAGATTTGACATTTATTAAATTTAACCTAAATTATACAACTCTGAACGAAATTCTCCATATCTTCGGAAATATTGAAAGCACAAAAAAGGCAGACCACATTTTGGAAATGCCAAGATCAGAGGTATCTTGTAAATTTGTTTCTTTAATTAGACTTCTAAAATTAGGTTTAAAAATAAATACCGCAAATTATTTCAAAGATCAAAGACGACCTTCACTTAGTCTTGCTTCTGTCATGTTTCGTGGGACAACCTGTATATCCAATTTCCAAATTATAAGTTTTCGTGAAGAGGGGTTTGTGTGGTTATTTATTCGAGATAATGTTCAACAAACAGTATTAATCAAGGTTCTAATTCAGGTTCATCAGGTCTCGGTAGATGTTGTCCGAGATCCTCTAGAGTGGAAGAGTGGGAGAGGTCAGATGGGTTGACCTTCTCCTTCCAGTGCTTGTCGTAGAGTGTTGAAGACCTGGGGTTCTTTCCATCATCAAGAATTAGATAATACGAGTTATACACGAAGCATAATAATATTCTTTACAAAATTATGATATAACAAACATTAATATATGTACAAAATAAAACGAGCACTATTTAACTTCCTTTTCTTATTTACTAGTTAGAATTGCATAATGTAAAGTATATTTAAACTAATCGGTTCTTTA